TTTTTTGACTCAAAGTAATGATCGAACCTCCTTAAAGCAAGCACACCTGTTCGTCCGACACTGATTCTTGGCTATTTTACAATTACATTTTTTATACCCCTGACCACCACTTGCTGACTGCTTTGCAGCAGCTTCTCTCAAGGTGAGAAATATGAAATATGTTATGTGATTTGGTAATTCGCCATTTTTCTTTGATATAATAAAGCATTTTATCTCTACCTCCGTGGTCAGTTTGGATGTGAACTTCCATCAGTTTCTCATAATAATCCTCAAGTGCCTCCATATAAATCACTGGTTTGCTTGCGTTTTGTCTTTTTACAATTATTCGCATTTCAGACCCAATTTTCGCAAGTTCATACGTCTTACCATAGTGATAATGAGAGCTAGATAGTTTGTTTTGAATTGGAATTTTCAAGCTCTTCTAACATTTTAATCACACGAAGCATGTGTTCACTTGTTATAAAAAGGCAGGATAGACAAAAGAAGAAGACAATGGTTAATATGGATAATGCGCAAACAACAAAAATAAATAAATAGATAAATAATAAATTAATAAGTGAATTAAACTGATTTAGTATGCTTACATATTCGTATATCGTCAATAGTGAAATAAAATAATAATTGGTAGTTATGCAGAAATCGCAAAAGACCATAATGTAAGTTTTACACGTCAAATTATAAGGTGAGTAGTCAGTAGATAAAATTCAATAAATAATTAAGAATGAGAAGCGAGCTTCTTCTGCCACTTGAGTTCAAATTGAACTGAATCTAAAGAGTCAATATTAAAAACAATGACATGTAAGTCATAACAAATATTAAAAGTATAATTATATAGCCGTTATGACCTTGTCATATATTATATTTGAATTCTCTGAATCTTTTTAAATGTTTTGTTTACATTCGCAATGCTATCCAATGATCATTTTTCTAACTGCCCAAAACTTGTCAGGCCGTTAGGCTAACAGCCGGTTGTTAGCCTAAGAGACTGAATTTACTAGGCTATTACACTAATCCACTGTTGATTATTCTATTGGCCGGCGTTTAGCTAAGTTCCTAGGATTTTAGCTAACGGGCTGATTTTTCTAAAAGTCTACGACATATATATATTATGGTGATTCAAGGACCTTTGCATCAAACTCTGAGGAACTATAGGTCTCGCAGAATGGATCATTTTTTGTCAAGCAATCCATGTTCTTTGACGCATCATTTAGGAGCTACGCGACCGCGCAGACGGGTCTTAGGTGACATTTATTACAATTATGAGATAAATTATTCAAAAGTACATTCGTAATTTGCCAACGATATAATAAACATTAAACGTTTATTTCATCGACTACAATTGGCAAATAATCGTCGTGACGATTCGACCATTGGTTTTGGTCCGATTGATCGTCAAGACGTTAATAATCTTTGATACTTATATATATAAGCATCTCATTTTTAAATAATTTAAATTATTTATTTATTGTTTCAAGTACACTTGCAGACAGTTTACAGAAGGCGTTCAAAGTGTCTACCTTGGACCCGATTGAATTCATGACATCGTCGTAACATTGATTGTCGGACTCTATCGAACATTTGAGGTCATGTTGCGACTGTAGTGCAGAATGCAATCAAGTTCAGGGTTGACACTTTAAAAATCTTCTGTAAACTGTCTACAAATATACTTGAAATAGTAAATAAAGCATCTAATAATTGTAAAAAATATCACAAATTAAGATCTATATGCGCGGTCGCGCAGCTCCTAAACAACGCGTCTGAGAACATGGGTTGCTTGACAAAAAAATGATCCTTTCTGCAAGACCTGAATTCTACGAGAGGTCCTGAATCACCCATATATTACATATATACAGAGTGAGGCATTTAAATTCAGATGCCTAAATATCTAAAAAATAAAGCAAAATAGAAGAAATGTTTCAGACAAAGGTTGTAGGGCTTAAAAAAATCTGTTTACTGGTCTTATCAATTTGATCTTAGGTGGCGTTGTTAAAGTCGAGTCAGGGTCACCTTAAAAATTTTTTTAAATTGGACCCCCTATTTTTTATTACATATTCTTATAACCCTCGTCAAGACGTTTTTAAAACACTATAATAAAGTCTCTTTCGTTAAGAATTTTCTGAGATATTTTTAATTTTGTCATGTGATATTTTTAACATAATATGAAGTATCTTGTAAAATATTCTCTTTTCGATGACTTTATCTTGATACTTTACACAGAATAATGTAAGGAAGCTGCTACAAAATTTGATTGCAATCAACCTACTTTGCCCAAAATATCTCTAGTTTCGGTACGTGATGTGTTAGCGCATTTTATTAGGGATGGAAATCCAATGAAGGAAGAAAAAGAAAATCAAAGAAAACGAGCAAAAAACTGTTTCGCGCGGCTTATTAACGATGATTTCTCGGTATTTTCTTTCAGTTTTCTCAAGGACATGTATCAATCTTTTGGATGCAATCAACATTGTTTTTTGCTCGTTTTTTTAAAGACAGTTAATTTTTTATTTATTTATTTATTTTTTTTAGAAGTAGTGGAATTGGCATGCGGATGCAAAGGTGAATATGCAGTCGAAAGCAATACTCAAAATTCTCTTTCGTAAACACATCGTAACCTTCGGATGGAAATTTCTCCCTTGATAGTGTGATAATGTAAAACAAATTTTTGGTAGATAATATCCTCCGTAAAAACAAATCAGCGTTGTCTTGATTCAGGATCGTTGGAAATGCAATTTCTTCGCTTTTTGTAATCCAGAAGACTACCACTCTATACTTTGGCGCTTGATTTTTAGATCATATCGAAAGCATCACGTTTTATTATTAGGTACAATAATTGATTTGAAGAGTTCTGAGTCGACATAGGCGGTTGAGATGATGGCGCGTCATTTCAGTGCTTTATGATGCCGATGAAAATTTTAGTCGATTCTGCAGTACAACTCCCGTGTTGGAATTTTGAGTCAGAACTGACTGGTGAATTGTTTCCTTATTGATACTTAAGTCTTTTGCCGCCGTTCGCAAATGATGCTACTAGATGCTACGCAATTGTGCCTTTTTTCAATGAATTTATTCTTGCAAACTAAGAATGGATCGTTTGCCATCCTTCAAGTGTTGACAACCATTCCTGAACTTTGAAAGCCATCAGAAAACTTGTCAAAATCAACGCTGCGTACCAAATATATTTTTACCAATTTTAAAGTAGAATTTTACATTCGCATGTTAAACATTTGATCACTTCCATTACACTAACTTTTGCTACTCTTTGTATGATAAACGTCTAAAAGTAACAATTAGTAGGTGATGCATGTACCTACTGAAAATTATCATTTGCTAACGAACGTGGATCTCACATAAGAATTTTTCTAAAAATTCAGTCTTACTTATATCCATCTTGCTAACATGGAAACTAATGTAAAAACGTTTCTGTTACAGCGATGAAAGCAGCTAAAGCAGAAATGCAGCAAGCTTGTTCGTGATAGACAGCACTGAATGATAGTTATTCTTTTTTCGAGTACTAAATGGGACTATTGTACAAGCACGGTATTATTGGCACGGGCATCATGCAATCACGCCAGGCGCCTCATGACAAATTTTATCTATGTAATATCACTTAAGTAACATTTAACCGTCAATCTTTTTTTATTTAAATAAACTGTAGATATAGTCATAAGGTTTATTCACATATAATATAGTTGTGTTATTGTACATTATATATTTCATTAATCTCGTAAGCTAAATGTTAAAAATCTTTACCTTTATTTTGTCATTTTGCATGTTCGGATGCAAAGTACAAATTATCAAAACTGATGATCTTCATTTTACTTCTCTTTATCATTTCTTTTTTTTTTATAAAAAAGGCTGCGCGTTATCGATGTGTTACTGTAAAGACATTTTAGGGAACAATTTATCTAAGCTGGTTGTCACTTCCATTTTTTGAGTATGATTGTATCGGTTGTAGTTGAGCTGTTTTCACAAAATGTTAAAGAAAAGATAAGAAGCAAAGGAAGGATTATACAGTGATCATATAGTTACATTAAACGTTACGTCTTTTATATTATAGCAAAAGGTGTAAATATTAGAGAATTGCAAAATTTAAAGCATTAGTACATTGTATTGCGGATGTGAAAACACACACACACACACACAAACACACACACACACGTGTCTTTGTATCTTTGTATGACAAAATTTTGTAATTAGTACGCGTATGAAATAAAACGATTGCTAATTATTAGACACAAAAAAAGTATTTTGTCTTTATTTTAATTTATGTATATAACCTTGTAAAAACGATATTATAAAAAAACGAATAGAATTGCGTGTTTGATATTGGCTGCCGGCTGCCGTTTATTTGGTGGACTACGCTTCGAAACATCGATTTTTTATTCTTTTGATCGATTTAACGCTTCGAAATATGCATAGCCCTAAGCCATCGACATATGTAAGTGAATATATGTTAATATATATTCATTTATATATGTTAAAAAAAAATATATATATATATATATTTATATATATATAAAGATGTAAATAATATCGTTTTTCTCTGTTAAAAGATACAAGATGTAAGACATATTTCCTTCTTCCTTTTTTTCTTTCATGATCTACAATTTAATGTAGTAATTTATCGTGAACGCAGCTCAACGATATTATTAGGTTACTCAATCATATTACATTTAGCTCCCGTTGTTTTATCATCATCATTGAATAGTTGTATACTCATTACTACTGTATGCCACGTATTGGAGACTTGTCAGAGATGCATTTATATTTGTATTTCAACATACATGAAGAATGCTTCAAGTATGAAGAAATTATAGATAAATGCAAAAAAGATGGGACTTTAGTAAGAAACACATCGCGAAAATGTTAATCAGATGTCACTAGATGAAGATAAATCTGTAAAAAATATAAATCTAGTTTGAAAAGAGAATGAGGATTTATAGATACATATAGCTCTAAGCAAGCAGCTCTAAGCAAGCCTGCAAAGCTGCTTAGGAACGGCTTGTCCCAAATTTTAGCCAAATTAATTAACGAATCTCATTTCACTTATGCTCGTTTTAATCAGTAAGATCAGCCGCAAGCTGGTACAGAGCCGGATTTTCCATTTTGGTTTTTAAAAAATTTATAATAAATAAAATACGGACTCGCAGCTAAGCAACCCGACAGAGGTCGGTAGTGTTACTCCTGTCGACCCTTAAGACATACGCGCGCATATTACATGCGTGCGCGTATATGTATGTTTAAAATTTCATTCTTAGGTACATATAAATATATATTTTTTATAAAAGGTCAATATGAGCTCTATGGAACGTGAGAACATTTAACCCCGAGGAAAACAAAAGGCGTTAAGTTTTCTTGACATTGTTTTTGTATATAGTGTATTACATTGTGTGTGTATGAATATATAAGTCAAATTTTAATAGTTGATTGCACACTCTGACGTAACCGCGCATTTTAACGTATAATGGTTTCAGAAACGTCGCAGAATAACATATGATTGTCTTGAAAAGACTAGAGGATGCATTTTGACGTTGAGAGAAACATCTTATTTTCAATAATTTGTATTAGGTATATGGGAATGTAAATGCACATTAATACATGTATATGTTAAATCAAATAATTCAAAATTGTGCAATGTTTATTATGATAAATCACACTTAAATGTTATAGATACACTATTTTATACATTTAATATTATTAATCCAAATTTATTCTAATATTTTTAAAGTACATCAACATAATAACACCAACATAATAATTACGTGTAATTGGAGCTTTAGAAACATTACTAATATTTTAAAAATAATTAGTTATTTAGTTTATATATTTTTATTTAGAAATATATTTTAATTTAAATATATTATTGTTCAGACGTATAATGCAACCATTCAACTATGATACTGTTTACTGTATAATCTATTTTATAAGAAATTCTAGTTTAATTTGTGAAAAAAGATTAATTTGTAACTAAGGTCGAAAAAATTATAAATTGGCGATCCTTATAAATTATAAGGAGAAAATATGATTGCCATAATATGAGATGATAATTAATATAACCTATTACATTATTAGTTCGATAATTTAAATTTATAAGAATATATCAAGTATCAACAGTCTTGTTTGACAGTTCAAATTATCACTTAAAGCGATGAACGCAGCATATGACTGTAATTTCGAACATGTTTTACACAACTTTCAATTTTTAGTATATTTTACTATACGTTACAGGGTATTACCTAAGCAAGTACACAAACTTGAAGGGGATATTCCTTGGTGTATTTTAAGAAGAAAAGGATCTATAAACTTGTGTCCTAAACTGCTTCGTTCAAAATACAGGATGTCAAAGATGCACGCTCCTGATGGATCTAAAAATGTTTTATCGGTACTAGAAAATGGTTCTTAATACCACATCCACGCATACCAAATTTGAATAAAATATTTTTAAACGTTTTCCAGATTTTCGAAATTTTCATTTTTTTTTTCACAACTTTGACATCCTGTATTTTGAAAACGAAGCAGTTTAGGACATATGTTTATAGGACTTTTTCCTCTTAAAATAAGCCAAGAAATATCACCTTCAAGTGTACTTACTTAAGTAACACCCTGCATATTCATTATGATAAACGTTAAAGGTGTGATAAATGTATCCTCGTCTTTCAAAAACAATTATTCTTCCTGTAAATCATATGACATTACATGTGAAATAGTACATAATGATAAGCATAAGGCAAATTTGCGTCGCCAAGCAGATAACATTGTTTCACATAACATTAACTATGTCAATAAATAAGAAATAAACTTATCTTAACAAAAAACAACGTTCTCTCTCATATCATATCAGTTATTACTCCTGCATTTTTATTTACATAAGTCCCGGGATATATCAAAATGTATCGGAAGGTAAAATAAAAATAATGTCACAAATTATATTTAAAATCTGTTATACATATTATTTATTACATTATAGCAAACAAAGATGAACAGATTAAGATGTAAAACTTACGCAAAACTACTTGTTAATACCGTATGATATAATTATACAAATATTTAAATGTATGGTACTTTGCACTTATTTGTATTAGAATAATAAGACAACTTTTTCAATTTTAAACGCGATTAATTAATGCACCATTAGACAGACATAATACATAATATACAATATTTTTTTTATCACTTGTTCTGTATATCAACGTAGCGAATAACAGAAAATTTTATTGTGAAAATCAATGACTAAAATATATATGACTTATTTCTTTTATATGCAATACAAGTTTCCATATCTTAATTTTACATGCCCTAATTTTCTATGGCTAACAAATTTCTACATTATACAATATGGGAGCTTTCCAGCAAGCGACACAAGTCCGCACAAGTCTTTGTT